CGTCCTTGAAACGCTTGAAAGGACCACAGCCAAAGAGGTCATCAACCCAAACGGGCCACTGAAGCACACGGACAGCCCAGGCCTGCAGCTGCCCCTCGCCCCTCGCCCCTCGCCCCTCGCCTTGTGGCAGAACACCACCTACGGATTACGGATACTCCACGTCCACTGCCTTTCGGTTGAAGGTGGGGCAGAGGTGCCATCGTCTTCCTGCTCCGAAGCCCTCTCTGCGTTCACCTCTTTGACCGCCACCAAAATATTCGTGTCCGACACAAGCTTTTCTGCTGCCAGAGGCTTCATTTGACACTGCTTAATCAACCACCCACCGGCAACCCGAGCACCTACCTCTGCCGCGCGCAAACCGCAACCATGGACGAGGACATCTCCAACTTCGTCGCCATCACGGCCGCCAGTCCGGAGGCTGCCCGCGGCTACCTCGAGATGGCGAACAACAACCTCGAGTCGGCCATCCAGCTCTTCTTCGAGAGCCCCGACCTCGCGAGCAGCTTCACCGCCGCTCCTGCCGCCAGCGCGTCCACAGCACCACCCGTCCCCGCAGCTACCCGACCAAACATCGGCCGCCAAGACGACCGCGGAATTATTCACATAGACAGCGATGACGACGGCGACACGGCCATGACCGTCGACGACGATGACGATACGTTTGGCCAGGACGACTCCGATATCGCGGCCCAGGCCCAGGTTGAGGCTATTGCACGGAACGCGCAGGAGGAGGAAGATGCCGCCATGGCGAAGAGATTACAAGAGGAGCTCTACGGCGGTGGCGCCGGCGGAGGAGGAGGAGGAGGCGGAGCTGCCCCCGACGATGTCAGATCGCCCATCGCCAGAACTACGGAGACGCTGGTTGGAGGCTACGATGCCGACGACGGCATGGGTATGGATATGGACTCCATCATCCGAGCACAGATGCGCCAGAGAGAGGCGGCGAGAGCAGCACGAGGTAAGCGACATGCTGCCATTGCGTCCCATATTTCTGGAGGCTAACAAGATTTGTTCGCAGGTGGTGGCCCCTTCAGTCATAACTTGTCTATCTGGGACGACGACAGCCCGACGCCTCAGCCAGCCGCAACCGAAAGCGGCGCCCGCGCCCAGAGACTGGCGGAGCTCTTCCGCCCGCCCTACGACATCATGTCTAGATCGGACTGGGACGAAGCACGACAGGAGGGCAAGGACGACAAGAAGTGGATTTTGGTCAACCTGCAGGACATGAGCGACTTCAACTGCCAGGCCCTGAACCGCGACATCTGGAAGGACCCCGCCATCAGGCAATTGTTGGCAGAGAGCTTCATCTTTCTCCAGTACGACAAGTCCTCCATCTCCGCACAGCAGTACGTGACGTTCTACTTCCACCATGGTGGCCACGAGAACCCCGACAACTACCCCCACGTCGCCATTATCGATCCGAGAACAGGAGAGCAGGTCAAGGTCTGGAGCGGACGGCCATTCCCCACCGCCACTGACTTCCACGCACAGCTGGCCGAGTTCCTCGACCGCTACAGCTTGGCGGCGAACAGCAAGAACCCCGTCGCGGACCAGACGACGCAGCGTCCCAAGACGGTCGACGTCGACCGCATGACGGAGGAGGAGATGTTGGAGATGGCGCTGCAGAACAGTCTCGAGACGTCCAACGGCGGCGGCAGCAGCAGCTCCAAGCCCAAGACGAGCGTGTTCGACCCCGACGCGCTCACCAAGTCGGATTCATCCAGCGAGAAGGGCAAGGCTCCTGCGGCGGACGAGGCGACGACCCCCACGGCGGAGGCACCTGTGCAGAGCATCTGGGCCAAGATCGCGAGCGACAAGCCCCACACAGAGCCCGAGAACAACCCCGCCACGACGACGCGGATACAGTTCCGCCACCCCACCGGACGTGTCATCCGGCGGTTCAACCTCGACGACACGGTCAGACGCATCTACGAGTGGCTCAAGGCAGAGCCGCTGGAGGGCAAGGAGGGCGTTGAGTTCGAACTGAAGCGCATGCCGCAGGGCCAAGACCTGACGGAGGAGCTGGACAAGACCATCATGGAGGCCGGCCTCAAGCAGGGAACCGTCATGATTGAGTTCATCGAGGACTAGGGTTTGGCGAGGTTACGAGTGACGGATCGATAATGACAGCCGTTTTTGGGGGCAACGCGCATGAGTTCACACGGGCCGGGAGAGCATGACCGATAGATGGTACAGGGAGGACGACTGGTTTTCTTCCCCTTTTTTCTCTTTTATTGTTTTGTCGCTTCACTAGGGGACATTCACATACACATACCACGATGACACGGTGACAGCATTGGCTCGATGATGATTGCCAGGCGGGCTGGGACGTAATCCGCCGAGTACAGACAGAGGAAGGGCCGAGATGGGGGTGATGTTTCCACCTTCGGCGACTAGGGTAGACGAGCTTACAGAGGCGCATCAATAGACCTCGGAGACAGACAGCAGAAAGATTTTGTGCGACGTGAAGGGTGAATGATTTTCCCAGAGTACCCCGAGGCCCTTTCCCCGGACAGCTTCACCAACTCGCGAACTTTCGCAAGCATTCGGGGGTCACCAGGCACCCACCTTCTCGAGTGACCAAGATATAACGCCCCGAGTCCACATGTGAGTGATTTTGAAGTTTCAACGCTGGTTTAGGACAATGGGCCATCGTTATATTTGAGATTGGTAAGAATCATCTGCGGGTTTTCAAATTATGGCTGAACTTTTGGGCTCCTCGGCCCTTGTTGCTCTTTTTATATTCCGTTACTTATCGTGGGCTCGACAAATCTATGAACGATGGCCCAGCTCCAATTCAGGTTGGGATAATGATATAGCCCACAGGAACCGCCAGCTAAAATGGTCTTGTATTAACCGTACTGATTCTCTCGTATTGGATTGGATACAATACGATGGCTCATAACCTATCGATTTGCATTGGTAAAAGTCAAGAGAGGCCGCAGTCGTCACACCCAAGCAAATAGAAGAAGTTGCATACACCTGAGAAGCGGACGTTTCACCGCGGTTCACCGAGGTGAGAAAGCGCGTCTGGTAGCCAATCAAGCGGGCGTCGCGAACGGGTTCCTGAGCAGTGGTCAAGTGTACTCAGCAGAGCCAGCCAATCAGGAGGGCGCGGAGACTTGTCGGTTCAGAAGCTTTCCCATTTTTTTTTTTGGTGATTTTCTCGAGGTGCCTGTCTTTCTGGCCCGTGCGTTCTATTCGCTCGCTTAACACCCTTACCCAAGGCTTCATGTTTTTGGGCGATAGAGAGCGCTGACGTTTTTACTGGACAGGGGGGAGGGGAGCAACTGTGAATCGCTTGCGGGGGGCGGCCCAGTGAGGGGAAAAGGTTTGACATCAACAGCGGCTGGTTGCTGGTGAACGAACCCCTCTCGGCTGGGTGTAAACAAATGGGATGCACCTCGTTCCCAGTGAGGGAAGGCCGCCCGAGGCGATTCGACGGAATTAAATGAATGATCTAGCAAGATATCAACTGGCAATTATGGGAAGGAAAGCAGAAATAGTGACTTTCGTGTGTTTCCATGGTGTATCCGAATAGTCAGTCGTTAGGTAAAGCTGCATCGGATTGAGTTGTGGTCAATCATCAAGTGCCTTTTTACCTAGCGTCAGGGGGTCAAATGTGAATGAATGGGACGGGAAAAGACGAAGAAAACAACCACCGCAACCACCACCACAAACATCAACAGACGCCTTCGCAGCCGCTTCTTTGTCCCTGAGCGGCGCAGGCTGTTTACCCCACACTCTTCCTCGTGTGTTCCTGCGTCCGTTCCCTCATCGCGTCGAGTCTAGCCAGCGCCAACACCCAAAAGCGTCACTCAAGCACACCACACACCGTTCTGCCCCCAAGTTACTTTCTCTCTCAACTCTCAGCTCTTGTGCCTTGAACGACAATTGTTGTCGGCCATATCCAATTCCACTTCACCAAGGACCACTGCAAGTTACCATATCGTGGGTACTTGTTCTTGCGCATTGCTCCGGAGCAAGGCACGACAACACCTCAAAACAGCGACTCAGCGGCACTTTTATTTTTGAAAAAGCTCGTTCCTTCTTAGGCCCTTGCAGCAGCTGCGAACTGACCCTCTCCTTTCCTTGCCTTACCTCATCTCATCTCACCTGCGCAGGAGCTTGCTTTCTTTTTTTACCCTTCCTCACCGTCCGTTGTTTTGGTCGTATTTCCAGCTGTGAAATTCGGCGCAGCGAGACATCGATTGACGTCTTCCCGCCACGAGTCCACGACCACCTCGACCTCGACCTCGACATCTGAGAAATGCGAATTGCCGCGGCCCGCTAGAGTGTCTCTCTCTTTCGCTGCCTCTGCGACATCCCTTTTTGGTACGTTCTGTTTCTGGTCGATTTCCCTTTGAAGAAGCCAGCCAGAGACACGCGGCGAAACGTACGACTTCCAGCTGCACCAACCCGCCCCGTCTGGAGCTAGCCACCGTTAGGTGCTCCCGACTAGAAGGATCTCGAGGCTAACTGTGCGCCTTAATCCCAGATCGCTTCCTTTCCACCTCCGTCCCGTCGGCGCCCCTTCTTTCGTTCGTCCCCAGATCGTCTCGACTCTGTCTGCCGGCACATTCAGCTCACAACGGCTGCATCCGTCGTCAACGTCGTTCGTTGTCGCTGTCGTCGTCGTCGTCGTCGTCGTCCCCCACCGCCTCCCCCCTCCCCCGGCCGCCGCCGCTGCCAAACCCCAGGATCCCCTCTTCAAACCTCCTGGTTCCTCCCATCCTCGTCCGAGCACGGAAGCAAGACTTCTTTTCTTGCCCTGCCATCTCCCGAGCGACCGTCAAACTTCAATTGGGCAGCGACGAACCGCCCCCGCGACTCAGACGAACCCTCTGCGGCTGCCAACGTCGCCGACGGCTTCTCCTCGATCGCAACCCCGCGGCACCGACTTCGCGCTGGTCTACGCAGCCGACGACGAACCACGGCTCTGCTGGGCCAGCACAGGGATTGCGGCATAGGGCACCACTGCGCGATTGCGAGCCGCAAACATGGGAGATCGCGAGAGGGACATGGAGGAGGGCAACGAGGCCCTCGACCCCGGGCTGCTCTACACCAAGGAGTACTGCATCGGTATGCGCCGTTCCCGCGCGTCTGAGGCGGCACCTCGCTAACACACAGGTTCCCCCAGGCGGAGGAAGCTTCGGCAAGGTCTACAAGGGGTAAGTGTGCATGATCCCTCTCCCGGCACGCACCAGACTGTCTGTCTAGAGCTCAAGCTGACAATTGCCTTTGTGTGCAGCGTCGACAAGCGCACCGGCCATGCCGTCGCCATCAAGATCATCGACATCGAGAGCGCCGAGGACGAGGTCGAAGACATCATCCAGGAGATCGCCATCCTGTCGGAGCTGCAGTCGCCCTACGTCACAAAGTACTACGGGTCCTATGCCAAGGGCGCCGAGCTGTGGATCGTCATGGAGTTCTGCTCCGGCGGGAGCTGCGCCGACCTGATGAAGCCGGGCTTGATCGGCGAGGACTACATTGCCATCATCATCCGCGAGCTGCTGCTGGGACTCGACTATCTACACTCGGACAAGAAACTGCACCGCGACGTCAAAGGTCTGTACCCCCAAGCAAAGCTATGTCGCAGGAGGTGTCGCTAACGCTAAGTAGCTGCAAACGTGCTCCTGAGCTCTAACGGCCAGGTCAAGCTCGCCGACTTTGGCGTTTCCGGACAGCTCTCGGCGACAATGACCAAGAAGAACACATTCGTGGGCACCCCCTTCTGGATGGCGCCCGAGGTCATTAAGCAATCGGGCTACGACCACAAGGCTGACGTGTGGTCGCTCGGCATCACTGCCCTCGAGCTGGCCAACGGCGAGCCCCCCTACGCCGACATCCACCCCATGAAGGTGTTGTTCTTGATCCCTAAGAACCCGCCGCCGCGGCTGGAAGGGAACTTCACCAAGGCCTTCAAGGACTTCATCGAGGCGTGTCTACAGAGGGACCCGAGGGACCGGCCCACGGCAAAGGACCTGCTCAAGCACCCCTTTATACGCCGCGCTAAGAAGACGAGCTATCTCACAGAGTTGATTGAGCGGCACTCCCGGTGGGCCACCACCCACAAGAACGATGACGAGGAGAGCGACCAGGAGAACGAGAAATACCACGAGCGACAGCAGGTAGACGAGGACATGTGGGACTTTGGCACGGTACGGCTCGTAGGCGACAGAGGCGGTCTCGTTCCGCGGCCTGGACTCAATGCCTTGGACGAGTCGGCTGCCAACTCCAGGGCAGCGAGATCAATCGAGAATACGGATGACTATGGAGAGCGGCCAAGGGACAACAGCCCGACCAAGGTCCGCGAGTTTGGTCGTGACCTTGCTCTCGCTTCAGATACTCTAAAGGCGGCCATTGCGAATACGGGAACTTCTCGACAGGCCTCACCACAACGGAAACCAGTGCCGACTACCGCGCCGCAATCACCGGCCAAGGTGTCTCTTCCAGTCTCTCCAGAAAAGTTCCAGAGAGCTCCAGAGACGCCAAGGCCCGTCTCTCGACTGATTCCTCCCGCCGTCGCTGTAAGTCAATCGCCGGACTACGACCGAGAACTGCAGGCCCAGTTGCAGAGAGACATGGGCTTGCTGAGTCTGGGCCCTGTGATCCAGCCGGCGGAGTTGCGGGAGCAGGAGACGACGCCGCGGCCACCGCCTCACGGGCCCAGACCGCCCAATTCCAATACCAAGCTAGCACCCATGGCGCTCCCAGAGATCCCGCCCTACCGCGGTGGGCCGCCGCAGGCCTCACAGATGTCGCCCAGAATATCGAGCCAGTCACCAAACGGGCAATACTTCCGGCAGCCCTCGGGCCAGGCGCCGCCGCCTCCGCCGTCCAAGGCCCACGCACTGCCTTCAAAGACGCAGACGCCCACACCGGAGCCGGCCCCCTCCGCGTTCCCCTCACCCGCGCCGTCGAACCCCAACGGCGAGCTGGACGCGCTGAACGACGTTATCTTCCCAGCGCTCGAGGAGGCGCTGAAGAGACGGCAGATCAGACTGCAGCAGGCTTTCCGGCCGCAGCCCGGCTCGTCGAGCCCCGTGGTGATGAACCAGGTGACCCCGAAGCAGCAGCGCGCCGAGGCGGCGCACGAGAAGCTGCGGAAGCTCGTATATAAGCTCGCCCACGTCTGCAAAGAGATTGACCACTATGACAAGGCGGAGCCGGTGGGTATGGGAAGAGACGTGGGCACCTTCCTGGAGGGACTGCTGGAGGAAATACTCGTCAGGGTTGAACCCCTCGACGAGGAGGAAGTTGCGGCGTGAGCCGTCTGATGGCCTTGGCGGATGTGTGTGAGCCTGCTCAGGCGGGACGAAAGGGGGACAGGGGGCATGCCTGGTGGGGACAGCCAGCAGCAGCCAGCGAGAAGCACATGCTTCTCGACTCGCCGCTTGTCACGAGTGCATTTTAGCGAGGTGGCATGGGATATGGGAATATGGGAACAATGGATATTGCGAACAGCCGGTTCGATCGGGGTCGTACTTCGCGGTATTAAAAAACAGCCGTCGTCGGCGAGCGGCGAGCGAGCGAGCGAAGCGAAACGGGATACAAAAGACTATACGACACTCTAAAGTACGATTACTATACAACAAACTCATGCGAGGCATTGATTGGGCCGGCAAAAGACGACACGACACGCACGACACGACGGATTGATATTCTTCTTGGCTTGTCCTGTCTTTCTCAGACTGGAAAGAAACGATAAGAACATGAAATGGGGATGGTGGCGAGATGCTATAGGTGTGGGTGGGCTTCCGCAAAGACGAATGAAATGGACTGATTACACTGGACTGTGTGTGTTGTTTTCTATGTGTTTTCTCTTTGATTCCCTCTGTATTATACCCGGCATCTACTTAACCCAAGAATAGAGTGCGTGCCCTTCGTGTTATTCGCTCTCACTCGCTCTCGCCTTTCTTTCTCTCTGTCTGCCTCTGGGAGACCAGACCTGGGGCCACCCCGGAGGACCCGATGCAGGGCTGAGGCTGCGGCTGCGGCTGGCGCCTGCGTGCCCAGACGCCGCCTTGCCTAGCCAGTCATGGTGAGGCACAGGCCTGGAGTGGGAATGTGTGTGTTAATATCGAGAGAGGCGAGACCTTCTGCGCATGTTGTCTATTATTCATGGTTTCTTAACGCAGCCACTTTGGGTTTGTGGGACGGCGGTTTTTTAATCTATTTGGTCTGCTTTCATTCGCGCTTAGTTTGTCTGTGGAGTGAGTGGTATTCCCGCGCGGAAATCTTGAAGAATGAGGATACCCTGCGCCGGCGTGGCTGCGGTGGCCAGCGGTTCTAGACGCGGGTACGTCCGCTTGGCCGCGTGGTGGTGGCCTCTTTTGGCCTTTTTGGCTGGCACGCTGCAAGGGCAAGTTTGTGTGGGTTTGGGGATCTGGGCGGGACTGCCGGAGGAAACAAGTGTTGTACCAAGCAGAAATTCTCGCTGGATTTCTGTTCTGTTGTTCATGGGGGCTGGGAGAGGGAGGGAGGGGGGTTTTGTGCATGTGGTTGATGTTCGTTCAGCCTCGATGCGGATTTTCTTGGAAGCCAGCGAGGGGAGGGGGATGCGGCTGGACTTGGGACGCTTCAAGTTCAGAGCGCCTGCGAGCAGACCGGGGAAGGGGGAGGGGAGGGAGGGGGGAATATGTGATGGGAATTCATGGGATGGGAGGGAGGTAGGATGGCGGGTGGGTTTTCTCTGTGGTCTGTTATATGGCCGTTTGACATGACTCTACCCACGACGGACCCTTGGCAAGAACGGCCTTGGAATCTTGGATGAATGGGGTTTTGTGGTGAAGCATTGGCGGTGGCGGCGGGGAGGAGGGCAGCAGGAATTTGTGTGTGTGTTTGGATGGGAGGGATAAGGTAGGTTAGGTAGGTAGGTATCCGATCGAGAGTGAGGAGTGAGGGCACGGATGGAAGTCGGAGACGAGTCCGACGGTATGGGAATTTCGCGACGATGGGGAGTGCGATACGATACTACATCCAAGAACTCCAGAGAAGCAGAAGGCAAAAAAGGCAGGCAAGGTAAAGCAGACCAAAGCAAAGTCGCAGCGGCGGCAGGTTTGGACGTCCTGTATCCTCAACCTGAAACCAGACGCGCGCGTGGGGCGGCTCGAGTCATGACCCTTGTTGGACTCTTCTTGCTTCTGTGTGCCGCCGTCTGCTGCAGAACGGTGCGCCGGGAACTTGGCGGAAGTCAAAATGAGGGCTGCCGGAGGACGAGCGGACTTTGTGAGTTGTGTTGGATACTTGCGGTTTGTTTGGTCTTATACGCAAGTTGTATTCAATGTCTGAGGACTGCATGGTTTAGCTATCAGGACATTGATACGCAGACTACTTTCTCCAACTGGTTCTGGCTGTCCAAAGTTTCTCGCACAGAGAAACAGAATACAGAAGAAGAGGGCAGAGGCATTTCTAATACATTTGCTATTGCATTGACGATGGATGGCCTTGCTGGGCAGCGATAAATTGTGCCGGCTGAACAGGGGTGGCTCACACCAGGACCCTTGATCCTTGGGGCCACAACCGGACCCCGGTCCCAAAGGCCACCAACCCCAGACTTGGGACGAGTCAATCGGCCTACCGAGTGTGTGTGTGTGTGTGTGTGTGTGTACGTGCCAAGTGCCACTGGTGGTGCAGAACCTGCAGCGTACCTGACGACGTCTTGGCCCTGGGGAGTATCCTCTTTTTGCCCTTTTCGGGAGGAGGGAACGTCTTGGGTTGTGCGTGCTTTGGGTTACTGGCGCGGGCAGCAGGCAAGCCTTGTCGCTTCGCAGACGCACAGAGATGCATCTCGGGAGACCCCTGGCACCGCTGTTGAGAGAGAGACAAGACTTTTGCAGACAGGGCCCCGGGTCGGCGTGCTGCCGGCGAGATGTTCGTGGGGAATCGGCCATGGTCCATCTGGGAGGCGAACGTGAGCACGGATTTTTCGTTCCGACCACCCACGAGGGCGAGTCGTGGAGACTGGAAGAGTCCGGTGGATGTGTGTGTGTCTGATGTTATGTGACGTCTCTTAAGGGTAGCTGCACCGCCGCCTTTCTTCTCCTCCCCTCCTGACCCCCCTTCCCTCCGTCTTGGAAGTCTTCTTCGGACTTTCTTTGCAACATATTCTCACTCCTTCCTTTTTGCCTTGTTGTTGTTGTTGTTGTTGTTGCCGCTGCTGTTGTTGGTCGTGTTTCCCTTGCTTGGATCGTGTTGATTACGTTTCCTGCCTGGCGACTACTATTCAAGACGGCTACCTTCACGGACATCGACTGTTGACTTGTGTGGACACGAGAGAGGAGAGAGAGAAAAGGAAAGCAAACCCATCACACTCTTTTCAAATATCTGTTATACTTGTTTTCGTTGTTTCGGTCGAGGTTAATCGTAATCCTACGGGGGAGGATCGAAAGCCTCTGTTCTTTTCTTGCTTTGCTCAGTATCTGGAGGAATCATTCACCATCAACATACATCATACCCCCATCACATCCATTCATTTTTATCTTGTAATCACTCATTATCCTACCCGGAAGGGCACCGAACGCCTCAAATCGTCACTCGAAACTCGAATTTCCGCACACCGAAAATCGACTTTACGTCCAACGATACAACAGAGGCTGGTTCTCGACAAAAGACGCAACATACTATTAACCCCCGAACAACCGTTCCTTCAGCAAGCTTGGCCGACTGTTGTGAACGACGACAAAAACTCCACCTGGCCTACTCCCTATTCTCCACACAACCTCAGTATCACCAAAGCAAACATGAGGTCGACAACATTACTCGTCGTGGCGCTGACGACGCTCGCCAGCGGTGTCAACGGAGTGCGGGCCGCGGCGAACCTGTGCTTCTTCCCCGGCGGCGTGCAGAGCCTCGACGTGCCGTGCGACCCCAAGGCCGAGGTCAGCATGTGCTGCGGCAGCGTGAACGCGTGCCTGAGCAACGGGCTGTGCAAGCTCGAGGACACTTCGAACAACACGGGCATCGCGTACGCGAGAGGGACGTGTTCGGACCCGACATGGCAGAGCCCGATTTGCCCGCAACATTGCGTGTTGAGTGAGTCCTTCCTTCCCCGTGATGTTTCCGCCCTCTCAGTGCGTGAAAAGGGGGGGAACGGTCATGAGATGGCAGCTTGATGGGGGTGAAACGGGAACATATCGTACTAACAGCCCACCCACAGACCCCGATACGAGAAAGAACAACACGGCCTTCGACTTCCGCTTCAACGGCGTGCAGGTCTGGCAATGCGACTCGCAAGGCTTCGCCACGCCGGGCAAGTTCTGCTGCGAATCCGCCGCCGAGAAGACGCGGTGCTGCTCCACGCCGGCCGCCGTCTTCGGCCCGCTCATCGCCGCGACGCCGGGCAACGCCGCCGCCGTGCAGACGCTCAACACCAACTCCAAGTCCACGCCCACGCAGTCCGCCTCGGGCTCGCACAAGACGGGCGGCACCGCGGCGGAGGCGACGGGGCCGGGGCACACGCCGGCGATCACGAGCGCGCCGACGATGACGTCCAAGATCCCGGCGTCCACCCCCGCCGCTGGGTCGGGAACGGGCGCCACGACGGGCGAGACGACGAGCGGCACGACGGAGAAGCAGGGCCTGAGCACGGTGGCGACGGTCGGGATGGGCGTGGGCGCGAGCGTGGGCGGCGCCCTGCTGGTTGCGGTCGGGGTGATGTGGTGGATGAGGAAGGAGAGGAGGGAGAGGGGCCCCGTGGAGCTAGACGGGAGCAGCGTGTACGGGGCCGGCGGCAACGGCGGGGATCTGTCGCGGGCGAACTCGGGGCGGATCGCGTACGGCGGGATGAATGTGGGAAACGGGACGGGGACGATCAGCTCGATGGGCACGGGGACGTATGTGAACGGCATGGGGACGATGGGCGGAAGGAGGGCGAGCAGTGAGTGGGACGGCAGCCCGGGCGGACTGGGCGGGTCGTATCAGATGGCGGAGATTGACGGCAAGGAGGCGCTGGTGGTTGGGGAGCCGAAGGGGCGGAAGAAGAGTCTGTATGAGTTGCCGTAGCGTTGGCGTGCGAGCTTGAGAGGGGCGGTGGTGAGTTGTAGACGGTGGTTGATTTGTACAAAAAGAAAACCGGATGGCATGGGGCGGAAGGGATGAGTATGGCGGTGATGGTGGGTGATACCTTCAATTCGGATAGCGGGATTTCTTTTGGATTTCATCTTTTTTAGTTCATGGTTGATGAGAATCTACTCTTCTACGAATTTCATATCATGATGTCAAATATCACGGGCTTCAATCTGGGTGAATCACGCAATGAACACTGGGGACTAAATCTGCCTTGCTGAGATCTACCACTGTTCTCATTCTTGAGAGATCAACGCCCACTGATCCACGTACGGCCGAGATCATCTCAACTAGACGGATCACGGACAGCAAACATGTTTACTCTGACAGGAGGAACGACCGATAAGCCTAATGAAAACCGTCCTGATTCGACCATCACGGGAAGGGGACCGGACGAGTCACGACGACGGGCGCCGGCATTTCGGCACGAACAACTCAACTCTTAGACTGCCACTCTAACCGACGGAGCGGCTGAACATCGTCAGACGGCCCATGAAGGGGGGGGTGGTAAGGTAGGTAGGTAGACACGGTAGCGGTTTACCAGCCGAGTGGATTCGGCTAGGGAAACGACCGACCGGATCGGCGTCCACTCGGAAGCCCCTCTCGACACGCTTCCTCGTGGGACTCGGGACTCTTCATCGACGAGCACCACGTGCTGCGCCTTAGGGTCGTAGTCACGGTTGGAAGGGGGCCCGGGATGGGACTCAGCCGCTGCTTCATGGAGAGGGCAATGATCGGCAGGGGCTCTGCGGCTCCCTTGGCGTGAGAGGGCAGGCTGGCTGTTGATTTTGGGTTGGGCTTCAACAGCTGGTTGCGATTTCAACTATTGCTAATGGGTGGCCACACGCAAGGTTTGGCTTCATGATGGAAAGAGTATGCTTCTCCGCGGCAAGGCAGATCATCCCTTTCGACGGCTAAACGTCTGCGCATACTGGTGGCCTTTGGTGTGAGCCGGGCATAAAAAGAGTTTATGTCATGATTGTCATCCGGTGGCGCGCATTGATAGGGCGCAGAGCGCAGAGGTACTCCCGTGCGGTGTGTGGACAAATGTCAGTGAGTGAAGCGGTGTTATGTGTGAGTGGATGTTGGAATAAGTGTGAGTGGGCGTCGTCGTGAGTTGACGGAACGTCGTTGCTGTCGTCGAGTCCGTGACCACCCCTGCTGCGATATGGGACCCCTGGCTGTAGGGCGAGGTTTTGGCAGGGATGCAGGGGGTTTCTGAGAATAGAGTTCGCTGCGACGTCTCATGAGGTATGATTGTCGATACCTGTTATTATATGGGATGACGCGATATAACCCCATCCCCATCCCTTTCCTTGCAGAGCAGGGCTGAAGGCTGCCAAGTTGGTGCGTTTCCGACAGATTGAGTATGATCCGTGGGTTTTGGGGGTCGTGATTTGACGGGAAACTGCATGTCTTGGAAATGAGAGGAAAAGTTGGATGTCAACTAGCTTTATCACATTCAATCTTGACTCGCCGTGGAAAATGGGGGTGTCATCACGCCAGCTTTAGGAAAAGCTTCGTTTTGAGATGAGGGACGCTTGGGGAAGTTAGACTTGGCAGGTTGGCCTTTCTTGACAGCCGACATAGTTCGGGTGACGGGGCTGGGGGTGAGGGTGTAAGAGCCGGCCTGGTGGGAGCCGAGAAGGGATGGGTGGCGAGCACAAGTCAGATCCTGCAGTAGCCTCCTACGATCACGAACCCGATGTCCTCGGTAGCCACGATCCATTTCAAAAGATGTGGGAGGAATCGAGGCGATCTTCAACCCGCATATAAGACATCGGATTCGCAACGAACAGCGAAGAGGGGATCAGAGACGATCGTGGGCAGCAGATTCCTCCGGGCCCCCAACTATGATATCTGCGGATGATATAGCACGGCACATGGAGCATTGCGTGATGCAGATTCGACCGTCATTCTTGGAAAGTCGTTACGCCGGGAGCGTGAGCTTGAGCGCTTGGAGAGGGGAGCGAGCCGTGTCACGTTTAGCGATGACTGCGCCCCCTTGACTAAGGCGATCCCTGGGCTTTAAGAGTTTGAGGTCTGCATGCGTGATTCTTGCCGAGCCTGGGATAAGGCATGTCTGTCCCGGACTGGATTTGCCTTTATTACGCAGAGGTGGTTCTGAATGCCGGATCGTCGTGAGAGCGCAATGCAAGTGCCGAGTGCTCGGGGCAGGACTCGGCCGTGGATTGGTGCGGGGTTGGAGGCTGTTGTTGGGGGCCGATCTTATGTTTCCCGGGTTGGAGCTATTAGACGCTCGTGTTGGGGCCGTATTTGATGTTGCTGACAGATCCGATGTGAGCTTTCCCTTTTTCTGACGTGTGTCGTTGCCGGGAACGTTTCCGGAGGTTGAGATGATACGTTCGAGAAGGGTACCCGAGATGTCGGGGGCGTGATGATGTGCTGCGATTTGGGGGAACTGGGTGCTTATCTTGTCGATCGGGGGCTAGTTGGCGATCTTGGTGCTTTCTTTTCGGGACTCTTCCGATATGGTATTTGGTTGACAACATCTCCCCCCATTCTTGATATCTTGCGGTCGAATCCAGCTGTCCCCAAGACGTGAACTACAGGAGCCTCTTAATCAGCGGCCCGTCTCGTTCGACTTGTAAGGCCGACTGACACCCGAGACCTTCACTAGTTCGTCATATTCATCAAAATAAAATTCGACAGACATAAGAAAAGAATCCCCGGTGATAATGGTGAGACGTATGGATTGCGTGTCAATTTTCCCGAAAAGCGGGCGGAGTGGTTTCTTGTTCCTGACTAACATCTATATGTCGTGGCAATAACGGACTCCCAATTCAGTTGATGTAGTTGCTCGAGTCTCTTAAGTAATTTGTCAAGTATAGCTCGCCTGCGTCGAAACGGAGGGTGGGCAATTCTGCCCATTGGATCCGGGGATAGATTGGGGGTTGTTTCGCGAGAGCCGCGAGGAACAAGAGAGGCACGGATGGAATAAGGGCAGAAAGAGCCCCCAACGCAGTGTGCTTTGCATGAGATTGACGAAGCACGTCAACCAGTTCCTAGAGTTTAAACAGTACCCCTGTGCGGTAGAGTCAGTAAGTCGCCGGTGGGAGGTGTTGAGTTACACAAGGGTGCTTAGTCTTAATTGGGAGTTCGAGTTATAATTACTTACAGGCCCCCGAAAGAAAAAACGATGATCTAAATGCGAGCTTCTATCGTATTTAGGTTTGTTGACGAAAGAAATCCTCATTCAAAACTATATCTAGGTTTATGATAGGTCCAGAGTTCTTTCCTCTGCCCCCAAAAACGTTGGGTCAGACCCCTTGATCATTGCAATTCCTATGCGGCGGAAGCTGCATGCGTTCGTAGTCTCAAGCTGACCGTCCACTTCTGTCTCCGTATTGGGTAAAAGTATCAAAAAGACCTCTTTATGTCTTGTGCCACCCTCCCTTCTCCGTGAAAAAAGAAGAAGACAAGTGTATTCGGTCTTTTCATCACCGGGATGACTTTCGTGGTCAAACTGTCCAGCACAGCGCCATGGCATGGGCCCCCTAGTGAAATCTGACTCTTCCTGGCCAACGAGGAAATATGGCGGGTTGCAGTGTAAAGACTCCGGTGCGATTCGCATCGACATCTTCATGACCGGGCCTCGTACACGGAAGACGGTCGCTTGAATTGCCGAGGTCATTGCTGGGCCGGTCCAGTCAACGCGGCAATCGACCGCAACTGTGCAGACTTGGGGTTCGACATCGCCTTCCTGCCGCTGCCAGTAGTCTATATAGATAGGTGCGTTGCAAGAAAGCCAACTCCAAGAAGGCGCTCTTGTGCCCGCTGGGCCCTTTTCTGATCCAATTCTCACCCACGATAGATCCTTTGCTACAGACTTGCGGCGAACGCCTAACAGCACCTCCTGGTGCGCGATGTTCTGGTAGTATTCAGTAACCCCAGAAAATGCTGGCATCCTGTCTGAAGAGATTGTGAACTCTCTGTTGGCGTAATCTTCGATCCACTTGTACCAGATCTCTCCGTGGTCAGACTTGATTAAGTCAATCCCACGCCCGAGTGACTCTGAACCGCCGAAGGTTTGCCCGGACTGCGTATGATAGAATCGCTTACATTGCCAGTGGATCTCTGAGTTCAGACAATAGAGAATGCGGCGTGACAGTATCTGTTCCTGGCAAGCCCAGCCCCGGGTGCTGAGATGGGCCTCCTCCAACTGACCCCGGGGACTCTGTCCTTCGAGACGGACCATTACGCTTTTCTGATGTCTAGAGAAATTCTCTCGATGGTTGTATGAAAAATGTCCAACTGGATTGTTATTGATGGTAGACAATGGAGATGACTTGGTCGCGATGTCTACCTTCGTTTTTGATCCGTCTTCCGGAAGACAGCCCGAGCTGCTATTCTTACCGTAAGTGGCTGAGATGGTGACAACACCCCCAGAGTAGACATCCTTCATCCGAGACGCCTCTCTTTGCCATTCGTCAGGATCATCTTGGAGGATGCAGAGAGAGTCTATCCACAAATAAGGAATTCCCAGAGACTTAGTAATTCTGACCGCATCTCGGAACGTCTTTGGAAGCATTCTTTCTGGTATTTCTTGGCAAAAAGCTTCCGCCGTTTCTCTAGTAGTTTTCAGGGGTCCTTTCACTCCGGGAAGCCCCCAACAGTGGCTCAAAGTCGCGTATCTCACCCTTCCTTCTCGCTCGTCTAGACTGTCGGAGTGCACCAGGCGTAGTATACCTGTCTGCACTCCAACATCAATTAGCCTAGTTGGCAAGAAACCTTCAACAGGCCGGCATTCGCGATGCGCGTCTCTCTCGCACGTCTCAAGCCAGGTTTTCGCGCAACGGATGCGGTCCTCTGCTGGAGTGAGATAGGGTGTGGTCGAGCCGAGAGTCCAGAAAGGCGGGTGACGATGGTCTGTCACCGTTAGATCAGCAACATTCTTTTTCAGCAGATTTGTGCTAGCTATCAAGTCTAAAATACCGGGGTTTTCAATTGCATCTTCCATAGAAACGCCGATCAACCCATATTTGAGGAAAGATCTCCCTTGTTGCTCAGCCTCCACCGCAATGCGGATCGTTGCCCAATGAACTCGATTCTCATCGTCCTGTACTTTAGTACTGGATATATCTAGGCCAACAGGTTGGCAAGAGTTGAATTCGTTACTAGGAAAGCGCTCCTTGGCATGGACCAGCGCTGGCTTCACGAAGAGGTCCCAGAGAAGTTCGCAACAACGACAGGCTTTGGCTGACTCCGCCAAAGCCCTAGTATTTGTCTGCGAAAGGCGATCTTTGGAATCCGAGGCAGCTCTTTTGGTCGTGTGGTTGAGGATCTCCAGACACCGATCGCAAGGCATTTCCGACCGCTCCAACATAATTTCGAACTCAAGAGGCCCCGCTGGCAGGCTCAGCTAGGGCGTAGACAATGAAAGATGAGCAAGCGAGACAATTGCTTGACTGACAGTTGATCAGTCTTAGTAGTTCAGAGTTGGGGCACAACAGTTTGGGCAATTTTTACGTGACGTCTGGGCTGGTTGTGATTTAGGCAACAACCGCAAATGTGACCAATCATCTTCACCCAAGTGTCTGGTTAGCATCAACAAACAAGAGGTCCTGGACTAGTCAGCAGCTAAATCAAATATGCGTGTGCTTTTTCTGGTTGACTTTGGACGCTTTTCAAGTCAACATTGGATCTTTGCATTCCATTCCAATCAGACCTCACGATGCTATAGACGACCGACCCTTTCTACAGAGCTTTATTCAAGAAGCTTCTAGTTCTGAACACAGATCAAACCACATCTTGATTCGTGAGAACTTGGCTCCAAGACGTGATTTAGAATATAAAATCACGATCGTTAAGTAGTAAATCACGCCCTCCATACCAAAAGGCGGCGCTTTAAGTCGTACCCAGTTGTCACTCACTAAGAACGGCCCTGGGTGTCATTTAGACTTGAAAGAGCATCGATATACTTAGTTATGCTTGCGTACCTAACATGACATTCATGATTTGCCAGATTCTAGTCTCGAATGTGTTCTCGGGTAAATTTTCCTGTTAAGCTAATTTGAAACTAAGACAGCTTCTTTGCCAAGATACCGGCCAATAACAGCCCATGCCTCGTCTACAGATCTCGTGTGACCAAGAATGTGTTGGTCAGGCCGTACCAACACAGCTGTTTCCCCTCTCAACCCCATGATGCTGATCCAAGGTCCTTCTGAACTAGCGATCGAGACGTCCACACTGCGTATCCGAACATCGCTGGAGCCAATCTTGCGACAGGAACTGGGATACTTCAAGCCTCGGTCATAGTGAAGAAGACTGAACTCTCTCTGAGATATCAAATCCAACGTCGATCTTCCAGCTGCAAGCCACGCATGCGGTAGTCGAGCACCAATGGCGGACGATGGCTGGTAATCTGAGCAGTCCGCAAGGAGTGTTTTTGAGTCTCTACTTTTGTCATAAACGTATCCAATCTGAAGACCCAGGGAATCAAAATGCGGCTTGTTGAGTGCCAGGGTCTGTTCGAACTCCATCTTCATCGCATGGCAGCTGAATAATGCTCTTTCAGCCGAAGCCTTTCGAACCATTTTCTCGACCGTCTTGTTGAGGTCGAGCCACCTGGCTTCGTTATATGCCGATTGAACCGAGTTTGCTACCGCTACAGGCTGTCGTTCTTCTGAGTATGTAACCAACAAAGATGCGAGGTGCGTCCCAGAGCGTATGGCGATGCCGAGTTTCCATGCTAGGTTCTGAGCGTCTCCTATCCCGGTGTTGATGCCCAGGCCTCCTTGAGGAGGGAAAGAGTGTGCTGAGTCTCCGACGAGATGGATTCGCTGAGTAGTATCGCTGTAGGCACTTGCTACCTTGGGCCACGTGTTCCAGACATTCACGGACAGAACCTTCGCTTCCACATTCGATCCGATACAGGAGCGGATTATTTCCTGACATCTGGCATCCGTGAAACTCCCAAGAGGCTCACGGTCGAGCTCAATGGGCCGTACGTGGACCCAAGAGTGTTGCGGGTCGTAAATAATTACCCCTCCCCTGTGGTCCGGGTTGAGACAGAAGGACAGCTGACCGCGCCTGTCTCTGTTGGCAAATGACCTGGTAAGTCGCCGGATGCGTGAATGGAGCAGTAAAATCTTTTTGGCCTTTCGATCCCATCTGGTGATGCCCATAAGACGTTGGACAGTCTGGAGCGGACTATTGAATCAGCCCCATCGGCGCCTACGACGTACTCTGATGTTATCTTCACCGTCGTAGAAGGGTCTGATCTGCTTGCGATCAATGAAATCAGCTTCCCTTCCCCGAACTCGACATCCTCCCAGTCCCACAAAGAGTAGATGGAAACCATTCCACTCAAGAGGACCGCTTCTTGAAGAAACTCTTCCAAAACCGGCTGAGCGACATTGAAAAGAGGCTCAGGGGTGACGTCTTTGACAGCCTCATCTTGACGTTCGTATGGAAGTTTTCCTAATTCCTGAGCCGCCAAGCCCTAGTTGAATCGCACCCAAAAGGAGTCTTGAGTCGTTGAGCCCAGGCTTCGCAGCTTTTTGATGTCAAGTCCGGCTTGCCTCATTATCTCGAGGCTTCTGGGGTTGACGGCGTGAGCTTTGGGTTGACCTAGTCGCGAGGGGTAGCGTGTGATTATGATGGAGGGGATTTGCTGTCTGGCTAGAAGATACGCGGTCATCAATCCCGCAGGGCCCGCGCCGACGATGAGGACCGTGGTCGTCGCCGGTGGCTTGTGGCTCTCATCGTTTGGGTTTTCGGGTGCTTGAGCGATTTTTGCCATTGTAAAAGTGCCACAGGTAGTACGAACGAGATGAGGTATGTTGGTATCTAGGCTTCGGAATGAGTTGAGCAAGACCCGACCTTAAGATATGAAAGAACTAGACTGCTAAGTTATAAAATCATTGAACACATGGTGCACTTATTTGCCACCGAGGACGCACGTGCGCTCATTTATAGAGTTTGCCTTGCATTTCCGTGGATTGTCTAATCAATGCCGGACATTTTGGAATACCGAAGAACAGTGGTCACCATAGCCTACACCTTCTCCTGCATCTCTGGGCCAGTTCCACATCCGATTAATACTCCATTATTCCACAGATTGGAAAGCTGGTAGCTCTACGACAGCATTGGTTACCCAGACGCCTTTCGGCCATGGAATCTTATGCTATTACGGAAGAGTCACTGCAATTTCAATTGAATGGTGTATTATTCTCATTTCCCCTCTAACATTGCCACAGTCTACGAGTCACGATGCTCGAAACCTACATGCCACAGACATCAAGGCAAATTGGAGGGTAAGTCTTACTGCGGCATAGCCTCCTATTCTACTCACCAGGGTTGAATTCATGCTCAGATTTCTACAACTCAGCAAACATGAGAGCTTGCATGCAAGAAAGAAAGGGTCGCCTAGAGAGTATTGACTGTAAGGTAGACCTCTCAACGAGCGTACTATTCAAACAGTTGGAATGACAGGAACGACCACATATGAGTTGAACTTCCCGCCAAAATGAATATGATGCTTGCCCTTATTTATCCCGTAAACGCTGGGCGTTTGCATATCTGGTATCTCCAAGTAGGCGTCTTTGCTGCCCCCCACACGAAATAGAAGACGTTCACCTTCGTAGAACTGCATCCCAATCGGCCAAAGACCTACCTCAATGGGAACGATCTCGCCCGGCGGGACCTTCTGAACTTCCTTGTGAGGATGATATGGCATGATGGAATTTTGTTTGGATCCGTCGGTAGCGCGATGGGAGACACGCAGCATTCCGTGACATCCAGTAAACTTCGCATGAGTGAGTCAATATGGATTCAGAAGACGGTCCGAATGACTCACCTTGATAATGTTGGAGCCTACCACATCCTCTTGATAGCTGTGGCTCTGGGGTATCGCGGTCCATGGGATGTTGATGTGTTCGAGTACTTTTCCAGACTTGCTCACCTTCCTCAAGCTCACATAGATATCCATGTCATCCGAATCATTGCATGAGACCCAAAGCTTAGCCTTAGTGAATCCCATCAATGTGGTGGTATTGGGGAATGTAAAGAAAAAGTCTGCCGTCGTCGCATTCGCGTCATCGGATTCGTAAGAGGCGACGCCGGTGGCTTCCGGGTAGTAAAGAGAGAGTTTGTTCTCGGTTAGGTATAATTTCTTGTATTCGGTCTTCTCGTGCGGGTAACTACCCATTGGGAAGTGTTCGATCGGTTTCTAGGAAGACCAGGTGGTCAGCCATGCAACCCTAAGGCATTATAGGGCACTCACAGGGCCGAAGCGGTTTCCGAACGTCAGGATCGACACCCGCACCGGATTGGTCTTCTCCCAGTCATTTTCAATGCCCTTCAAATATCGATCAAAGAATGCTTGAAGCTCGTCTGTCATGTCGGGTCTGTAGATATCAAACCATTCCTGCGTACAGTGGACCCGAAGCCACTTCTGCTTGCTCTTAGCTGTTCGGAAGCCTTGAATAGTTCCGTAGCTGTGGATACTGGAGCTGTAGCCTGCAACGACGTACATGGGTATGTCGATATTTTCGATTTGGGGTATCTTGTCTTCCCAGTAGGGGTTCATCAGGGGCCACTTGTTGATTGCCTTCGCGACATCCTCTCGCCTCTGTCGACCGCGGACAGTTGCACGATAAAGAAGGTTATCGAAGGTAGCGTCAGGTATGCCGCCTCGACACAGGACGTCGCGATATTTGTCTGTGAAGCCTTCCCAGGGTGCAATAGCCTTGAGAGACGGAGGGCACAGGGACGCGGTGCTCCATTGTACTTGGGCCAGCCACGAGTTGCCTTGCATTCCCACGGAGCCTGAGCACCAGGGCAGGCTGGCAATGTGCTCCACGATTTCTGCACCATCTCGGCCTGCGGCACTGTCAGTCATCTCCAAAAGATAAATTCAAAAGAGCTGTCTATACCGGCCCCTGTTCCCTCAATAAAGAGGTCTCCCTCCGAGTCCCACGAACCCCGGACATCAACGCTGATGATGGCGTAACCTCGTGGAACCCATTCGGCGGGGTCAACCCTGTGAACTTCTCAGGAAACCATCCGAGTACGAGAATAACTTCATTTTAACATACGACTCAAACTTCTCCAGTCCAGAGAGCATTTCCTCTTTCACGCCAACCCTATACGGCATAAGATCGTAGTTGCGGAATCCATGCCCCCCTTTTCCGTAGGGGCTCAAGGCAAGCAGCGCAGGAACCTTTTCCGAAGTGTTCGGCCGACAAACATCGTAGTATATCTGCAGCATCTGAGTAGGCTCCCTCGTTTATGGGTTTTGCGGCGTGGTAGTATTACTTTGACTCCGTCGGAGTGCTTCATCTCCTCATTCACCTCGTAGATTATTTCGCTAGGAAGAGGTCGACTTCGCGGTGTCTTTCGCCACCCCATGGGCAGAAGCTCTTTCGTTCTTTCTTGGAAAGAATACGGAAAACAATTGTCTTCATTTTAGGGTGGAATTGTGTCGCATAGCGGCACGTTGTAACCGTTGATAACCAGTTTGGAGTCCATTCTGGCCATTAGATGTTGCTTAGTATTGCTGTGAGACGGAACTTGCTATCAATCTGGTACAGTGAACTGTGAAGGAAGCATTGGGAAAGCCCGGCTCAGAATGATTTATTCCCGGAATAAGTGCGAAGGCTTAGTGTCTAGATGGTCGGAAGATCGAGATCTGCATGGAGCGGGTTTTCTACGGAGGCCTGAATGCCAAATACTTCGCGAAGCCCGCTTGGTTGATGATTCCCTGGTACCAGGAGCACATGCGATTTGAAGGCCACAGTTGACCTAGGTACGGTATGAAGGGGTTATGGTGATGATCGGGGCGGCGGTACATCGCTCTTCCGACTTCTCCATGGATCATGATCAGATGAACTATGTAAGCCTTGCCGGTGGTTAATCCAGTCCGAGGACCGACATCGGTTAATAGACCTTCCGAGAAAATTTAACGACGTTCCTAAGAAACGATGAAGAACACCCTGATCGTGACGACCTCGGAAAGTCATACCTTAAAAGGGGAATTATCGTCCGAAAAGTTTCATCTTGTTTCCGTGCCCCCAACGGTTCAAACCTTCTCTGGAAGTCAATATGGACTACCTACACTCTGCGCAGATTCCCAAGATTCGCCTCAACCTCCTTTGCCAAGACCGTCACATCAATCTTCCCGGGAAGCTTAGTATCGTTCCATTTTGCCACCTGTTCCGCGGCATACAGAACGGCTTCAATAACTGCCACGGATATCCCCAGCCCCATGGAACCTTTCAAGTGACTCTTCGCCTGCCTCGTTGCCCCTAGTGCGGCTATTGCGCCGGCAATGGTGATTTCGCATAAAGGAAGACTTTGAGTTCTCTCAGAGCCTCCAACTAGGAAACCGAATACCGCAACGTTCGCGATGTATGCTAGTAAATGTGAGCTTGACGAGTCAAAGCGAGACAACACTAACTGACTGATTTCGGGGAAGACCCCGCCCATCATGCGATGGACTTCCTCGTTTCCTACAGCCCGGTAAATGGCTTCGTTAGTTTGCACTCCTTTCTTGAACCAGTCGAAATCTGTGATCAAGGGTCTTGATGAGATGTTGTCAGTTGTGGCGTATAGTGCAGCGAAAGGAGTGAAACTTGCCTGTCAATCTCATTCGACATGCGAATACCGAACTCTCGGAGCTCGCCGATCAAACCCAGACAGGCGGGAATGCACTGAGGCAGTCCAGTGAAAGGCCACGTCAGGTCGAGAGCAAGCTTGAAAGATGCAAACAATATCTTCGTTCCTTCCACGTCTCTCACTTTGGCCAGATCATGAAACAGTTTAGGTACCGCATCACCACGGCGTTGGGCGCAAAGCATTGCGGCCTGTAGCTGCCATCAGCGCTGCGTCCCTTTATTTGATAGAAAAGGATCATAACTCACAATAATACCAGGCGCAACAGGCGCAATGGCTCCACCGTCCACAAGTTCCAGGTGTCGCACTAGGTAATGGAAAACGGTCTCATCGTAATGTGATGCATCAGTTGCCAGATTGGCATTTATGTATTTGTCATTGAATTCTTTCGCCGTGTTAGACATTGTGAAATTTGCGATGAGACAAAATACCACGGGCTTGTGGAACCTGGGGGTGCAACAGTACCAGAAGTCTTCCGTAATTATATCTATCTGCATCTTCATTCAAACGACTTATGATTGGTAATTCATCGAATTCAATGCCTTAAGAGTGAGATGGCGGGTGAAGTTTCATCTTCCAGACTTGGATTTACCACATCTTCCACGGAAACCAAACCAAAAACGTGCAGTCAAGCAGTAGACCTTATCTCGAGTATTTCACCGCCGAAACATACACGACCCCTTACCTTTGAAATAATCACCTCTGGACTTTTGACAGTATTAGCCAAACAGGGACTGGAACCATTAATGTCATCATGGCCCAAACCTCCAACGATTCAAACGCATATGACTATCATGGTCATGTACCCAAACAAGGGAAGTAATATGGTTGGGCCGATGGTCCGAATTGCATAATGACGACATTTTACAGGGTGGCAACGTTTTGGAGACATTGACGACAGCGACCCGTACAAGTATTCGACAACTATCGGAACCAACCCGGAACTTCAGCCGCTTTGGACAGCTTGGAAAGCAAATCTCGAAGTCCCGTTTCATGGCATCACTTGCAATGGCCGTAAACAAGAGGGACTCCATATTCTACGGGACGAAGTGGCTCCAACACAGAAAATAGTAGCTCGATCACCTTGTATGAGAAACATGAGTGTGGCTGATAGACTGCAGGTGCAAGCAGCCCGGACGTTGTTGCAAGCTCTGAGCCCCAGCGAGAAAAGGATCGTCTCGCACAGCCTTGATTCCGAGGACTGGTAAGTCAGGATGCCAAATCTCTGGGGAGTGCTAACTGAATACGCAATTCTGCGATGGGAGAAAATGGATGAACCCCGAATTCGTGTGGTTCAAGTGTGGCCTACGTCTCGAAGATTTGGAAAAAGCGAAAATCGAAGCCATCATGAACCTCGTGCAGAGTTCTCTCAGCGACAAGGGGTTCGACAAAGTCAGAGGGGCAATGAAGACCAATAAATTTCTCGGTGAACTTTGCCATAAAAAGGCAATTTTGAACGAATACAGTTATTTGTAAGTGAAACCAGATATTGACGACTAATCTGACATGACTCTTGGCGGCATAGCTTCGCGATCTTCGAGAGCCTTCAGAGACAGAACCGTGGTCGTATATGCTTTTCGGCCACCACTTTGCTCTCAGTGCTTTCATCGCTCGACAGCAGATGGTCATCGGCCCAGTCTTTCTCGGGGCTGAGCCAAGTGTATGTCAGCCAAGGACGTTGACTGAGAGTCAACGTGCGAGTTGGGAGGTTGCTTACATGCAAGCAGATTATCGACGATGGCCCGGATAAAGGGATAACGCTGTGTGCGGAGGAAAGCGAGCTGGGTCTACGGCTAATGAAGTCGCTTTCGCCGGCAATGCAAAAGAAAGCGCAACTGTACTCCGGATTGCACGACTCAGCCATGCCAGAGGGTCGATGGAACCCGGCTGATCAGGTGCGCGTGTCGAGCACCGGGCATAAATCTAGGCTAACATACACGCACAGAGACATCTGGCTGGCGCCTTTCAAGATAACCGAGTTATTCCTTATGAAGGCGTCCTAGCTACCGACATGACCATCGAGCAGCGAGAATTGCTTGTGTCGATCATTTCCACCTCTACGCTTCTTCCGCCAGGGCCACTTGAGTTCCGGCTAGCAGACGTTCGCGAACACCTGTCGGAAACCTATTTCTGCTGGATAGGCGGCTTTAGCTCGACAGACCCTTTCTACTATCGAATCCAGAGTCCGGTTACGCTGTTTGAGTTTGACCATCACTCCGGGGTCTTCCTTACGAACGACGAACCTGCAAAATACCATATTCACACGATTCAGAGGCTTCCCAATGGCAATGACTATGGACGATCATTGAGAGAACTGCTCAGGGAAGAGACGGAGGAAGACGAACCTGAGTACAAGGTTTGGCCAGGAAACCCATGGGTGTGCGACAGGGATTGAGTCAATTACTTTCGTCTGATGTAACTCAGCATTGCAAACATATCAGCTCATGAGCTGGTGCCTACTTGTGTAGATTTAACTTTGTTTCCCTTACGTCGCGTGCGTACCACCGTCGAGTAGATTCGATGCTTGACCATCCACCAAGGACCGAGAGAGAAACGATCGACAGGTCGTTCGGCAGCTCTGCGAGCCCGTGCATCTTTTATGCGAACTCCTTTATCAGTGAAGCTCTGCCCCGTCCAACTGAGTTTGTCTGTTCGTACCAAATCTGCTTCTGATGATCTCTTGAGGACGCTGCAATCACTTAGATGACATGCCTGATACGTCCGGTTCACCTCTCAATCATCACCACCGACCGAAGCGAGTCGCTCGAGCTTGCGACTACTGCCGTAAAAAAAAGGGTGCGTGCAAATGCCTTTCCTCTCGATTCTACGAGATCATTGTGCTTAGATACCCGCGCCGACAGTTGAAATGCACTTCTGGCCAGCGGCCCTGCCTCAATTGCCAACTCTATAACACACAGTGCATTTCGTCGGACCGAGGAAGGCGGCGTTCAACCCTAAACAGCTTGAGACATTTTGAACATGACAGCGAGGTTGCTGAAAGCACCATTCATGTCGGCGGTCACGGTACTGCGTACCAACATGACGATTCTAGCATGTGTCTTTCGATAAACCCTACGGTGAATACCAACCCTAGGGTTGAAAGCCAGACGGAGATGTCATCTTCATGGTCCCATTAAGCCGGACTCGACGGCGGAACAGGATCACAACGTTCCCGTTATGACTTTCGCAGCTCCGGAGACGCAATACCACCCGATTTGTGGGATTTTG